TGCACAAAGAATAATGATGCATAGTACACAGTTTCTTACAAATACTAATCGAATTAATCCAGTGAGTTTCGCTGGAGATATAGTGAACCAGAGGTCAGTCGCGAGCCTGAATAGCTCAGTGGTAACGTCTCTGACTGCATCACTGGGTGACGCGGGTTCGAATCTCAAAAGGGACATCAGCTCCTTTAAGTTCGCTGATACGCCTTGCTGATGAGTGCCAACTAGCATGAAACCTAGGTCCAACGCTTCCTGCCGATTGCCTCCAACCATCTAATACCAACAATTCACAGTGCACCGTAATGGTGAGCCACCTAGCATGGTGGCCACATTGCAAGCTTGACTGACTGATAGAATTCAGTCTGCACCGAAGATAGGACTAGACACATCACACTAGTTACTGACTAGTGTGCAATCAAAAATATATAATGAACCACTATGAATATTGCTCATAAAACATTAATAATCACAGGGTTCTGGAGAATGTGTCATCAGTCACGTTTTAGCAGGTAGTTGGTTGTTTGTCGGTGGTGGAACGGTGGTGCAATACTCGCCACACCCTCCTCACTTGGCCTAGGGTTCGATCCCCAGTCAACACATACCTAAACCTATCCTACTTAGCCGTGGTAAGCTTTGTAGTAAAAATAGAAGGTTGAGCGTGAGTAAGGCGAGCAGCTCCATCCGTCGAGTAAAACACACACACACTAAGACTACTGAAACTCCAAGAGCTCCATCTTGAAATCCTATGTTCCGACGGGAATGCTAAGGAATAAAGTAATCATAATAGTTACTAGCTCTGACTGACGATAGAATTCAGTCTGCACCAAAGAAAGGACTAGACACGTCACACTAGTTACTGACTGGTATTCAATCAAAGTATCCACTACAGTCCTCCAGGAAGGAGGTCAATCGCGAGGCCGAATAGCTAGTTCAGTGGTAACGTTCTCAGAAGAAGGGACATGAGTTCCTTCGTGGTTGCAGATACGCCTTGCTAACTGACTGGTGAGTGCCACCTAGCACGAAACCCAGGTCGAGAAAGGCTTCCTGTGACCGACTGCCTCCAACCATCTAATATCATCAAGCTGTTAGTTCTGTCAGTGACCGAGCGAGTCAGGGAAATGTTGACGTCCAAGGTCACTTATCAGGAGAGATGATTAATAAACTAATTCGTGAAGAAATTTTTGAATTGATATATACGCTGAATATGTTGCCTAGTGGGAGGGGTGGACGATGAAAGCTCCGCAAATGAACTATCCAGGTGGCTCAGAAAACACAACCACACCAAAATGAATCTAATCTACTGAACAACGACAAAGAAACATGACGTCTTATAGCTAGATTCCACACCGAAATGTTTGTACAAGTATGGAATATTCAGCATATGATATCGGCAGCCCAAATTATGCGGGCCGACCAATTAATATCAGGTGTGCGTCGGTAGGGAATCAAACCCCTGACCATTTGCATGGCCGGTGAGAGTCCTAACTCCTGTACCACCGACGTTTTGGCACTAACAATCACGATAAAGTCAGAAATGTAGGAAAAAGTATAAAATGATAATAATGGTAATTTTAGTGAGTATCATTTTAGGTTAATTGTGGAATAGTGTTATTATAAATTACAAATAGGAGAGGATGAAAGTGCCATTTATTTCGCCTATCACTGAACACTTTCTGCATCACATAGAATGCCAGCGGTCCTGTGTGATAAGATTCAAGTATGGTGGTGGAGGAGGGGTAGTTGTGGAGAGTTGAGAATACAGGAGGTATTGAGAGTCAGAAAGTATGGATTTGGACGAATTTTCCCATGAGTTCAAGTGTCTATCGACTAGAGTAGAAACGAGCTGACTTAGTAGTGACACACCAATCACCCTACTAACAACCCTCAATACCCCTCCTGAGTATCCAAGGATAGAATAACGTGCAGCAGTGAAGTACAGTTGATAAGAGTTGACAAGGAGCTAATAAGAGTTACCTGATTGCTCTAACTGCCTAACGCCATGGTAGATTAGGCGGAAGATCTTAGAAATCAGCAAGATAAGAGATGACCAAGAAAGCGCGGAGGATAGAACTATTCAAAGGTATTTTATGCGCTTGACTTAGTCTCCATCTCAGTGCCTTCCAGCCTACAAGTATGCAGTGAACGGACCAGTCCCTATATAGATCATGTTTATGCCCCTAAGGTGAAGTTAACAATCTGACATCTAGTAGAGGGATTTAAGGTAAGACCGTTTAACTGACCAAAACCAGTGACTTATGTCCAACAAAAACCTATTAAATTTGGAACAGTAAGATCGAAAAGTGACTGCCAACGAGACAGTGATATCATCGTCACCATCATCAGCGTAGTGAATGGAAGCGATGTCTCCTGTTAGCGGAAAGTCATGTTAGAAGAAAGGTAACATAAGGGGAGGAGGAGAGGGAACCGAAACTTGAGAGACTCCAGCTTCAGTTAGTATGGCAAAGGCAGATTTGCCTCTACATGCAGTATACTGTATTCTGTTCGATAAATATGCATGCGTGCGTATGTGGCACAGTAATTAGGACGCTCGCCAACCATACACGTGGTCTGGGGTTTGATTTCCAGCCACCGACGCACTCCTTCACCTCGCTAAGCCAGAAATAAGACTGGTAAAGAGGAAAGGTTGGGCATCAGGCTAGAAACCCCATCACGTTAAAATAAACTCTGCTACAGAAACTTCAAAACTCTAGAACACGGTTTGTTTCACGAAGTCAAAAAAGCAGGTGTTTATTCAAGGAATTTAATTTGTGGATGGTGACTAGCAGTGGAATCCAGGATGCGCATTTCGTCCTATTTTGGACTCGTCACCTGGATTTTCCTGCTGGATGTACCAGTCAATCGACGGGAAAGTCTAAAATTCAACTAAATTCGTCAAGGAAGTGAGCATTGATTTGAGTGCTTGTTGCTCCATGCGTGATAACATGGAGGGAATTCTATGCCTACGTATAGCATTTTCACATGAAAAATAAACACAGCAATAGAAACACGCTTAGTCCATAGTGAATCTGAAGCAATAACACTTTTTGTAATCGGTTTTCCCTAAATCAATTCATTTGAAGGCCTCTAATACCACCAGTGGGTTACCATGTCACCTGTGAAGCAGTCAGTAGCAGTAGCATTATAATACCACATGACTGGCAGTAGTTAAAGTTCACACTTCTCCTTGAATTCCACCCAACCCAAAGGGTATCAAAAGTCAATGCATCACACTAGTCAAGGTTCGATAAACAACTTGGGTGACGGGGTGCTGAAGAGGTCAAAGAAAAAAACTACGACTGATTCTTGAAAAAACAAAACTATATTGAAAAAAACTTAGTAAATTTTACGAAACTCAAGAAAAGTCAACTTGAATCTATGTGCACTGTTATGCCTTTAGGGGTTCCTAATTTTCAACAAAAAACCCCCCTTAAAATTACGTTTTCTAGACGACCAGACAGCAGACACAGTGTCTGTCTTAAAAAATAATAATAAATAGACAAGTTAAATTAATTAACGCTTTATATATCCATTGTAAAAATTAGGGTTGAAATTGGTTGACCCAGTTTCTGGACATTCAATGTCCAATTTCTCGTACACACATAGAAATGATTGTAAATTTGGCAGAGAAACACACTCGCGCAAAAATTAAACATGAGCAGGAAAACAAGTGAGCAAGCAAGCCAGCAAACAAGCAAGCAAACAAACTAGTCACTTTTTTCGCTAGCTAACTAGCTAGCCAGCTAGCCGGGTAGTATACAAGCAGACAAACACAAATATTGAGTATACACACATAATGTGAGATCATCAGACTATCAGTAGGTTGAGAGTACTATCTATATATGTTGTACAGGTTTCTTTCGTCTCCTGTCTTTATACAGATAAGTGAAAATCAATCAATAATTTTTGTATGTAGTAAACAATTTTGAATGGCATTGATTTGTTTCTCCTTTTTTTGTTTGCCTTACCAGATAACAAATAGAGAGAGAGAGATGGAGAAGATTTTTGTAGCTCAGGTGGATGATTTTGATGTGGAGTTGTGTTCTCTGAGCCAGCTGGATAGTTAATCTGTGAAGCTTTCATAGCCCCCACCCCGCCCCTACTGGGCAGGTAACATCTTCAGCGCGCATACTTCAATTTGAAGTGAGCTTGTGAACTTTTAGATTTCTCCTGATGGGTGACCTTGGACGTGGTGATTGGTTGTTTTTGTGTTTTGTGTTTTCCTACACAAATACTCGCCGAAGACATTGGCTAGGGGTCGCGCTATGTTGTGAATTGGCAGAAGTTAGAATTCATGGACCATTGGATCGGGTCCCAGTGGCCTAATGGTATACGAGCTCGCCTTGTAACCAGAAGGTCCTAGGTTCGAACCCCCTGTGTTGGGTGCGTACTGATGAAGAGTCCCAAACCAGGACGAAACAGATGTCCAGTACTCCCAGGTTTTCCAATGGTTCTCTAACTAATGTCAGCTTATGATGAAAATCCTGAAATTTGAAATAGCTTGTTGGACGTATGTCTAAAGGTAACACGGAGGAGAAGATACAGTCGTACAGTTAGATAAAGAAACTTTCAGAAGAGAGGACAAAATGGAGATGTGGTGTTGACGCCGTCTAGTCCAATCGGTACCCAGGGGAATAATAATACTAATAATGATAAGTGGAACAAGAAATGGCTGCTTCAGTCTTTGAGTTCCTCGGTTTCGGTAATGGCTATTTGAGTAGTATGCTGGGATTGCTGGTCTCATACCGACTCACCCAACTCTTTCCGTCTCTCTCTCTCCCCCATATGTTTACAAGATTTACTAACGAGTGGTTAGCACACTAGACAGGTTAGTCAAAAAGGTTTGAAACCCGATTCACATGCTATTTCATTGATTAATCAATATTTATGTGTGTTTAATTAAAATGAAACATACATCTAAAAAACATTAAAAATCAATAAACTCAAAAAGAAGAGCATCAAAAGGAAGAAAAAATAAACAAACTAAGAAGAGAATTATGACTTACATGTTGACAAATTTTACACTTGTATCCTTTAGCCGGTGGATGATGATATGAGGTTGTTGTATGCCCAGTGCCTGGAAGAGATGAACCGAGGACAGAGGATAGACCATTTTCCCCATTACACAAACCATTAATCGATATACCTTCATCTTGATTAATTCCAAGGAATCGTGATTCGACACGACTGCTATTACTACTATTATTATTATTACCATTATTATTATTACTGTTATTACTACTGTTATTTGTTGTATTATTTCCATTATTATCTTCTCTTGGAGTTGTCAATGGATCCTCCATAAGTAGATCTGTTGATCGTCGACCTGTTCCATTGACTGATGAATCTGGTGAACATTCGGAACCTCTTAAATGAGTATTTCTAAAAATTAAATTATTCAATCGATCAGCTTGTTGTGGCATTGATGAAAGTAATCGATTAACCATAGTTTTATTTTCAATACTATTGTCCGCACGTGATCTTGACGAAGATTTCCCTGTTACACGATCTGATTCAACTGTAGCTTCAAGAGAATCTGATAGTGGACTTTTTGGTGAAAAGATATACTGTTGTTGTTGTGTTTGCTGCCCATGAGCTAGAGGGTAATTGTCATTATTTGATGAATGTGATCCTCTTGTACCGCCAGAGTTCCCGTTGCTATTATGATTATTATTCCCAGATGAGTTCACTTCATCGACATGCTGATCTCCAGCGCCTGGAACTCCACCTCCGCCACCAACTACAGCCGCGGCTGCCAATGCAACCGCTGCTGGATTCCCTAAACTCTTCAAATGATGACAGTGTAAATTATACGGAGTAATAGAATCCGCCTGGAGTTTGCTACAATTCATTGAAGTAATCTGTCTTGGGGATAACGCCGCCGCTGCCGCCGCCGACTGCTGCTGCCTATTCAATGCATTTGTAACACTAGAAAATTGACTAGGCTTTGCAAAACCATTACACAGGCCATCAAGGACCATTTCATTGGCACCAGGATTGGCACGTAGACCTTGTTGAACATGACGTGGTACTTGTATCCCGTGTGGTAGGGCTATACCATTTGAATTGCCAATGTTTGTTTCATTAGCACCCATGATAGCAGAACTGGCTGCCGCGGAGGCGAAAGCGGCAATCGCTGCAGCATGCGTAGGATTATTATTGTGATTATTATTACAGGTATCATTCAACTGGTCGTTATGCCCGTTTGCATTATTAGTAGTATGTGAATGGATATGATTATTAGCGCCGTTGCTGTTGCCACCAAGACCACCCCCGACTCCACGAGGTTGACCAGATAATAAACGTTGTGATGGTGTAGTAATATGTGCACGAGCATGATTAATCGATGGCGAGTGATTCAAATGACGACTGGTCTCATTTTCACCAGCTTCATGATCTTGTTGTGTCAAGTGACGTGTATCACTGAGGCCAACATGTTGATGCGGTAGTATATGAGACATATGCGCTGCATGTGCTGCACCAGAATAGGAAAATCGTTGACAAAAACTTTCAAATGGATCTTCAATCATACCGGGTAGTGTTGTTGATCCAGGATTACCTGTGGCGGCCGCGGCTGCCGCTGCTGCGGCTGCTGGATGTGATACACCTAGCATATTTGAACCGGGAACAGTTGCATTCATTGTGGCTGCTGCATTCGTTGCAGCAGCAGCAGCAGCAGCACCTGCACCCATCATAATTGGTTGTGCATGAGCACCGACTGCTGCATTGGCTGCAACAGCTGGATAACTTGCCCATGGCCATAAAAATAATCCTGTACGTGTTCGTGGATCAGTACCGCTTACATCCATCATGTGTGTGTTTTTTAATATAGGAAATAATTCGATCAAATCAATCGATTGAAAGAATCAATGAAATTTTTTTAAAAAAAAGAGCTCTCTTCACACCGGGGTTATTCTCTATAATTCACAATGATGTGAATATGATGAGTAAAACAATTTTATAAAACAAAATGGGATCACTGCCCCCAAGAAATTCGATTGAAATGTTTTTTTTACTTTTATTGATTGCTTGCCAATGAGTAAAGTGTATGTCCGATATCCACAGTTTAAACAACAATAAGGACAGGGATTACACAATTATTGATTAATTTCATGAAAAATTGAGATAATGCTGAATTAGTCAGGTTAATTGGTTAGTAGGTTAGTCAGTCCAGTCGGTTAGTTGGATAGTATTCACAGTGAAATGTAAATGTGTATTTATATGTATTTATATATTCCACAGATGATGTCAAGGTCAGGAGTGTTGTACTGACATGAACAGGTTCAACGGATCACCCTTTCCTTGAACTGGACTAGCATTACATCAAAATGGACAATAAATAATAAGTAATAATAATAATAATAATGAAAGAGTTTATTTTTGGCAGGTATTAATTGTCCGTCGAAATGTGATAGTACTTGGACTTGGGGATTTGAAAGCAAAGAATTAGAAGTCGTCGTTGTCGCTGTTGTATTTTTCGTGATAATCTCAGTAGAAATGATGCGTGCGCTCACAGCCGCACATCCGCACACACACCCGCACACGGACACGGAAACAGGGAGACACAACAATGGTAAAAAGACGAATGAGCGTAGCTGTAGTAGTTCCGGTAGTCGATGCTACACTCACACACTGGACTTCACTGGCTTCACTCTGCACACACACACATACACAAACACACTCTCTGTGTGGATATCTTGTATTTAGTCTGTGTATAAATGTGTTGTTGTCTAGAGAGTATATATATATACAACCCTGTTATATTATTATTATTACTATTATTATTAATCTTATTGTTATTCATTAAGACGAATGAATCGACGAGACGATAACGATGGATGGATGAATGACTACAAAAAATGAACCAATCAAATTTGAGAGAAGAATTTAAGACCTGTGCGCGCGCGCGCGCATACACGCGAAGATTTTTTCTATTCACAATTGGTTATTTTGAATGAGAAATACAGAGAGACATAGAAAAAGGAATACAACAACACCGACACCACCAACACCGCCACCACCACCACCACGACTTTGTGTGAAGCAGCAGTAGTAGTAGCTGCAGTTGTGACCCAATCTTAGCAAAAGTAGAAAAAGCGTGTCCATTAAAATTACTATTATTATGATTATTATTACTAGTAGTTGTAGTAATGTAGTGAGAGAGAGAGATTGTCTGTAGCCCTCATCCACTCACTCACTCACTCTCTCTCTCTCTGTCTCTCTCTCGCTTGGTACACTTTTATACAATCCAATGGAAATGTGTGGACGAATAAACTAGAAATCAGACATACTCTATCAGTTATATTCAGTCACTCACTCACACACTCACAAAAACACACACAATTGCTTCCTGTCTTCGTTACCAGTACAACACAACAGAGACAGAGAGAGATGTGAGGTTGGGGTTGTGTGGGGTGGGAGGGAGGGCTAGTGAGAAAGATAATTTGTCAAGGCCAATAAACTGGAACTTGTTTTAAACAGTAGAAAAAATCTAATAACAATGACACGAATACACTCACAGACGCACACAGCTCATAGCTTCTTTCATTCACTCAGTCAGTTAGTCAGGCAGTCGACTATCAGCCAGTGTTCACCTGCCCTCCCCCCGACACACACATACTACCACCACCAGTCTGTGTGTTTGTTGGTTTTTTTTTTTTCTATGCGGTCACAACAATCATACAGATTAGAGATGTCATCTACTTATTGTCTAGATATAGTCGTTTTTACTGGCTATCTGTTTTTCTGTGTCCTCTTCCGTTTGTCCATCTACAGTGTAAGTGTACTTCTCTAGGTACTTGATGGACTCAGTGTTGATCACACAACAACTCAAAAAAAAAAACACAACTCGAACTGGTGATTTAGACAGCTTTTTATGCATGAATGTAAGTGTAGAACTTGAGCACTGAGTATGGAATGTCATTCCTTATTGCATAAGTTTATTTTAAATATTCGGGTATTGATTTTTATAGGGAACTTTTATATATTAGATATATCACACAGTGAATAATAATAATATTAATGACCACATGCATGTCAAATATGTGCAAGACAACACCAACAATAGGGAATCTAAATCATCAGTAGTAATTCCATACAAGGAAAGAGCCTCGGAAACCTTACGCAGAATTCCTAACAAGGCAGACAGTAATAAAAGTGGCTGGCATTGAAACCAACCACAAACTCAATTAGAAACAAGCCTTGTCGGATAAAGGATCATCCTATGGAGCCGAATAAACAAAACAATTTAGTTTATCTAACACCCTATCTGAGATGACTGTCAGGTGAAATACGTAGGTCGAAGTAGTAGAACAGGGACAGTCAGATTAGCCGAGTATAAAAACCTAGCGGAATTTAGATTAGTTGATCCGAATAAGATTAGAAATCTGGAGAATAGTTCAGCTGTACCACTCACTAAATGCAATTACACACAACCATACAATATTGGATGATGGGATAAGATGACAGTTTTAAAATCTAATATCACAGGGTGGAAGGAGAGATTGATAACAGAAGCTTTGTTTATCGAATCAACTGCAAATACATGTAATAAGAATGATTCAACACCTGTCCCAGATATCTGGAAAATTTTACTACCCCAACGACGACAAATGGGAGAGAACAAAGAGAACTATAAAACTCAAGTTTCAAAGTTGTGTGATTATAATTGGCGATTTGATTATGAACAATAAATTTTGTTTGAAACTGTGTCATCCAGTAAATAATACTGTTTCACTGTGTGATTTATCTAATTAACAAACTAATATGGAATTACTTACTACCACAGTGCCCGAGTTTTACACATATATTTATAGGGAATTTTGTTTGATTGGTTGGAGGATTTCATCATGAGCTGACATCATTTAGAGAACCATTGGAAAACCTGTGTTTGTTAGACAGCTGTTTCGTCCACCTAGTTTGGGACTCCTCATCCACCCTCAGGGTTACAACCTAGGACCTTCTGGTTTCAAGGCCAGTGAGCTAGCAGACCATTAAGCCGCTGGGAGCCGTTCCAGTGGACAGCACATGAATTCTAACTTCTGCCAATTCGTGACTTAGCGCGACCCCTTTGCAATGTTTTCTTCAATGAATTACTGCCTCACCTTCAACCTGCAGTACCCTAGTGGTCATGGCTTCCCACTGGAACCCAGGTAACTACTACCTGGGCCGGTCGCTATTTAGCATCAGATTAATTTTCCAGTATTGGTTTTGTGGGGATTTTTGTTTGATTGGCTGGAGGATTACATCATGAGTTGACATCAGTTAGAGAACCATTGGAAAACCAGCTGTGGGATCTACTGGACAGCTGTTTCCTCCGTCCTAGTTTTCAATTACCACACAGTAATGAGAATCAATTTTATCACACAACTTCTCCTCCTCTTCCTCTTAATGTTTGATGCCACTTTCCTTATCTCCAGTATCATAGGCGTTGTGTCATTCCGATTGCACATATTTGGCGTTGAATCGAGTATACACAAACAAATATGAATCTGAAACCAGAGCAGCCCAAGTTACCAACAGTTCCAAAAAAGGCCTTGTTCCTACAGATACAGTTCCTAGGAGACAACACCAGTGAGATACTAATACAGCGCCTTAGAAATGCGCTAAAAAGAGCATTCCCTGCTGCTGAATTACGCTGTATCTTTAAAACCACTCCTCTTCTGCTTTCGGGAATGAAAGACAAACTGCCTCTTCCATTTAACTGCTCCTGTGGAGTGAGCCAGTGACATAGGCCGTACAATTAGGCTTGTTTCTCGTCGAATTTCCGAACATCACACTGTATAGTGGTTAAGCAAAGGACAAACAAAATCTATTCGGAGCACTATTTTGTCTCATCTTGTGGAGACAGAACACAAGACTGACGTTAATCATGCTTTCAGGGTCATTTATCGCATACCTACGAATCTCAATTTTGCTTTAAGAGTTCGACTACTAAATATTGCTGAGGCTGGCTGTTGGGATCCATATTAACAAGCCTAATTTATGCATCCAAAAGAAGTTAGTTCAGTCATGATCATTACCTTGGCCATCCAGGTTTGAATAATCCGGAGGTTTTGTGAAATTTCCCTAATTTTAGTTGATATTCTATTCACTATTATATCTTTATTATTATTATTGTAATTATAATTTAAGCATCTTTAATGAACTGTAATTGCATTGATCTTACTTTACACATCGATATTATTTAAAAATCGCTAATATTGTTATTAACTACTAATTTAAAATATTCTGTTTATATAAACATATATATAATTGTAGAGATTGGAAGAGGAATTTATCGAAAAGAATATTCTTTGCTCGATTATTTTGTGTTTTATAGATGTCTGAATGAATATTTTTGCTATATTGAAAGCTGGAGTGATTAACCTCCCTCTCTCCTCACCTAACTATATTACTTTTTAATACTCTCGACCTGTCCCACCCCACCTATTGTGTCTTACCACATGCAGGTGAATGCAATGCAGTTCAATGTCTGAGCTATCTTCTGGGTTATTTAACTCAGCAGGGTCAATCATTCCCGACCCAGTTCCAATAATAGAATTGACTGACTCCAATCTACTAGTTTGATTGGCCTATAATAATTAACTTCACTAACAGTCAGCATTTCATGGCATTTGATAAATTATATTATTTATTTTAATTGGTTCCATTGAGTACTGCTGAAGAGTCATTTCCAAGCACTAGAACGAAAAAGCTTTGCATTACTGGACGGTAGTTTCAGCCTTATATTTGGAACTCTTCAGCAGCAGGCAATCATCACCCACTTCACTGTCAAGGATCCAGCACATTTAAGTTACAAGGTTATCACGTTGATCATTCAGGCACTGGGACCCGATCCGATAGCTAGTCCATGAATACTACCTTCTGTAAATTGTGCAGTTTTATAGTACTGTCGCTTCCAACCAGTGTCATCGACCAGTATTTACGCTTACACTCAGTGTGACTAGGTGGATCCATGCTACGTACAACTTATGACACACTAGAAAAGTCAGGCAACTTCATCCTTTAGCGAGTAAGTGAGTGAGTGAGTGAGTTAGTGAGTGAGTGAGTGAGTGAGTGAGTGAGTGAGTGAGTGAGTGAGTGAGTCAGTCAGTCAGTCAGTCAGTCAGTCAGTCAGTCAGTCAGTCAGTCAGTCAGTCAGTCAGTCAGTCAGTCAGTCAGTCAGTCAGTCAGTCAGTCAGTCAGTCAGTCAGTCAGTCACTCACTCACTCACTCACAATAATTTGTTGATATCACTGTTAATTATGGAATCAATTGGTGGCATTGAGTAGTTTACAGATTGTTTCCACCAGTAGATCAATAAAAGATCAAGAGGTCAATATTTCATCCCAGCTTGGGTTTCATCATTAGCACTGGGAAGCCGTGAACCCACTGATGACCGAACCTAGGACTCTGAGTTTACCAGATGAATTTGGGCATCAAAAGAAGTCAGAATGCATTAGATTCTATCCAAGTCGCTGACTACTCAACTAGTTGGCCATGTAGCAGGAA